GCTGAACTACTGGCAATTATTTCTGAGAATTCATGCACAATCAGGTAGGCACCAGAGGACTGGGGGAAGAAAAACAATGCTCATTTGAGAAAAGGAGGATTAATTGAAACTATGGCATGTCCAATTTACCTGCGACTATCAGTGAAGTAAGAGATCAACATTAAAAAAAATCTGCAGGCATCTTAAGTGCAACAGGAGCCTCGGGACAGAACAGGCTCAGATTCAACAAGAACAGATACAACCCAAACTTGACCACTTTATTGAATCACAAAAACGAGCAGGCAAGAGATTTGTCCATTGCTGTGCCTTTCCACATAGGTCAATCTGACAGCTCAGGGGTGGTGGGAACCTTGGGAATCACTTACAGTGGATGAGGACCTTCACCCTCTAATGGGCTGTGCTCACCCCTACCTCTTGTTTGCAAATGAATAATTTTACTCCAGCAGAGGAGACCTCAAAACACTTATGGTAACACAGCTCCATCCATGAGCAGCAGGTCCCCCAGCACCTGCAGTGCACATGGCTGGGTCTGGACTCAGCATCTCAACTCATCTCATCACTGCATCACAGTTTGGGACTCTGCTCTTTGCAATTTCTACTGCAAGTCTGGAATGGCACCATGGTTCATCAGATCCACCATATTTCAGATGAGGAAAGGCACAACTTCGCATTTTAGGAAGAAATTCTGTGTGGTGAGACCCTGTCCCAGGTTGCCCAGGGAAGCTGTGGCTGCCCCATCCCTGGCAGTGTTGAAGGGCAGGTTGGATGGGGCTTGGAGCAGCCTGGGATGGTGGGAGGTGTCCCTGCCCATGCAGGGGGGTTGGGACTGGATGGTCTTTCAGGTCCCTTCCAACCAAACCAGTCTGTGATTCTGTGGTTCTATGATCTGTGATCATAACAACGTGCTGCACTTCTTGGGAAGTGGTGAGAGCACTAGAGAAGACAATTAGTAAGAATGACACAGGGTTGAAAATACACCTATGAAGTCCCAGAGGGACTGGTATCAGGGCTCAAGCCTTTCAAACACGGTTATTAGTGTTCTGAAAGAACAATGAGGGGCCTTATTAGTTAATTAGATTAAATAGAGGATGATATATTGAACAGGAGATAGTGCAAACATTAGGAGGGACAGAGAAATAATAATAAAAAGGGGCAGCCTGAACGGGCAGGGGGAAAAAGGAAGGGGAAAAGCACAAAGTGAAACGGGGATCAGTGCCTGCAGGGGAATTGGCCCTTTGCACACAGGCGTTTTTCCCCACCTCCCCTTCCCACTTCCACTCAGGAAAAGCCATCACCTCACCCAGCCAGGCTGACGTTGGGGGGGGGGGGGGGGTGGGGGCCGTTCCCCCCC